CCCGCAGGTAGTGCCTTCAACTTCGCCGCCTCCGCCAGCGGTGCGACCACCGGCCACGCGCCACCGTTCCCCTACGACAAGGACGCTACAGCGGCGGCTGCGTTTGCCTTCCTAACAGATGAGTTTCGCAATCCGGGCAGTTACTACAACATGGCTCTGCGACAGCAGCAACAACAACAACAGCAGCAACAGCAATCGCAGCCGCCTATGGTACCGCCGACAGTGACCAACGCCTCGGGTCAACCGACTGCCTGCAACAAACTCAGTAATCAACCACCACCGAGGAATTATCCGCCGCCTCATTCATTCCTTCACTCGGCTGCCGCCGCAGCTGCCGCCCAGAGATCGTATGTCCCGCCGGTCTCCGCCTACGTGACGCCGCACGGACCACCCAATCTAACGGTTGACCAAGCCGCCTATCAACAATATATTCATTCGCTCTACGCCCTCCAGCCACCACCGACGCATCATCACCGACCAACCTGGCTTTAGCCACTAAGATCACTGCAAAATCGGTCCGTGATTCGATGATGACACATTAATCTTCTAATGGATTTTGAAACATACCGCAACGAAGGAAGAGCGTTCGTTTGAGATCCAAAGGGATACCAAATATTAATCGAAAGTCTCTTGGCGAGCGCGCGAGAGAGCAGTATGCCCTTTTTGTCTTATCTTGTCTTTTTTTTTTTTTTTTGTAACTTACAAGGGACATCCTCCTCGCGACTTGTCTTTTCTATTGTTTTTTACGTAATTGACATCGTATCCGTAAGACTCTCTACGGAATTAGGTGAATAACCGTTTGTAGATTTCTTTGACTGCAGCTTCCTTTTTACGAGCAACCGTCATAACTCGAGTAACTTTGACACTTTTACACCGTTCGTCGAAAGCGGAGAAGCTTAGCTTCAAATATGTACATAAAGGACAAGTCTACTTTCGATATAGGAATTTTTGATAGTTTTCTAAAACGAGATTAACCGGCAGGTTCTCAATAGCTCTAAGTCGAGATCGCTAGCGCCGAGAGTAAGTCGATTCACAAGTCGTCTATCAAAAGTTCCTCCGTATGTAACGTCCGGGAAAACATATACGCGGATTAATAACGTAGAATATGATACATTGGATGCTTTCTCCAGCGAGATACATACGTGACACAGTGTAGTACACAGTAAAATTATTTCATCTTTGTTTAACACGTTCCATACCGCCATGAGTCACCGTTGACCCATGCTGGACTTTCCGTTTAGACCATTGATATATTTTTCGCTTCTATATGAAGAAATGTAAAATAATTTCTGATGTATGACGAAATGTTGGTACATTAGGCCTTCTACTTTATAACAATTTTTTATAACTTTTTTAATTATTATAAAATATTATTTTTTTAACAAATATAATAAACATAAAAATACCGTGAGTGTCATACAGTGTGGTCGAATCACTTTACATACATTGACGCAGCACAAATCATTCATTAACATTGGCGAAGAACAAGGACACAATGATTCACTGTTACACTATAGATCTGTTTTTTTTTTTTTTTTAGCTAAAGTTCTTACACGGTTCATATTCCTTCCTTCTGTCGACGTTGGAGAGAAAAAGAGAAAAGACGAACCGTGCAAAAGAAGTCAGCTAAACAGACAGGTCTTATGTCACTTGCAAAACAACATTGCTGGAAAGCGCTCATTACATATTCGCGTGTATAATGTACACGTATATAATCATACATTGTGTATTTATGCATGATGTATCGTTATATACATTATTCGCGAATGCGTTTTCGTCTGACGCTTACCTCTACGTCGACAAATGCACGCGCGAACGAATTTTGCACGTGTTCCTCGTCGGTCTGTACGGTGCGTGCGTATGCGTCGGGACACGGAATTATGCAATATGCAATTTTTACGTTTTGTTAATTAGCTGATTGACGGGCGTCCTCCCTCTCTGTAGCTCCGCCGTTCGGGTCCATAACTCGCCGAGTGTGTCGTCTAGCCGTCGGATTTTCCGTTTGATCTTTCGGTTCGGTAGCGAATTAATTGTCGAACTCGTAGTAGAGACTCTTGCAAAAATGAAGCCGAAGAGAATTTTTCTGTGTATAATAATTATCGAGCGCGCTCTGTTGCTAATGTACGTTATGTAGATTACTTAGCGTCGTAAGAAATAGCACGTAAGGGAATTAGGCTTTCTTTGTATATATATATAAAACACATATCTCGCGTAGAGGACGATGTGCTCGATCTTAAAAAGGATCTCGACGTAACGAGGGATCTGTGCAAAGACCCGGAAGGAAACTAGCGTCGCTCGTGACGTGGAAGAGAGAGACGTGACTTTTCTGTTTTCTTTTTGTTGGAAAGAGACGCATATAATAGTATAACGAGACATCAGCAGAAATATATGTGTATAAGTATGTGCGGAAAAAAAAAACAAAAACGAAATATACCGTAATACGCCGCTATCGTTGTACACCCATTAACTCATCTTTATCGTTGAGCTGAGTATCGTCGGGGGAAAAAGCGGTATTGAAACTTATAAATATATACATATATATTGTAAATGTATATTGTAAATGTATCTATGACAAATTAAAGCGCAGTTTGTTACAAAATCGCGGGGTCTATACTGTGATAGCAGCTATCTCCCAATACGCGTTGAATTCCCCTCCCCTATATAGGGTGATTCATTTATCCTCTGCGCATAAAAAATGCTCGTTGAATAGGAAAAGTTTTTTTTATGTACATTAAAGCTTTCTTTCTCATTATTACTTTACTCCGCTATTATTTTATTATTGTTTGTTATTACTGACACTAGATTCTTATACATATCCAATATTTTCTGTATTTAAATAAATACTCGTTCAGATTTCACAAGAAAAACTGTATCAAATGCAATTAAAAGAGAACAGATTTTTTTTCTTTATTACAATTTTCATGCCTTCTTTTTTTCTTACCTTGCCTCGTTAGATCTGTTTATGCTTGTTGTACTTTCCATGTCTCTCAGTCACCAATTCGGATGTGTACGTGCTTGTCTGATTTCAAATACGTGAGGTGCAGCTGATGAAATACATACAAATTCAGTCGATACCTAGCTGCAAAATCCAGTCATGATGTAATAAGACCTGTGTACAGGGTGTCCCAGAAATAAAGTAGGAGCCGCATTGGGGTCGCAGAATGGATCAAGGGGAACAAAAACATTTAATACCATTTTGAGATATTCGCTGTAGTTTTCAAATTGAAAAAGGAAACGTATAAGCCAATGTACGGTGAAGCCGCGTCGCGCGAATTCGTATGGGCACGGCCCATCGCGCTTCGAACTGCCTTTTCATACTGATGCTCAACGCTCATTTTCAGCGTCAAAATAGGTCGCTTGATCAAAATTGACACTCGATATTCGTCAATTTCTATCACGTGACTTATTTTGACGCCAAAAATGAGCGTTGAGCGTCGGTATGAAAAGGTACCTTCAGGGTGCCGTCACACATGCGGCGTAACTTGCACCGATCATATACATTTCACTTGAACATCAGTTTCTGTCTAGTCACTTTATGCTTTTTACGCTATTTTGTTATTACGCCGAATCTAATTTCTGGCTCATTTTAGCTTATCCTGTCTGAAAAAATGCACATGGGTGCATTTCGATTTTGCAACAGTACAATTATAGAAGTTGTGCCCCATGTGGAACAGTATAATTATAGACCTCATTTTGCCTCTGTGACAGATTTCCTACCTCAATAGTCATCAACTATAACGCTTAATATCTCGGATCACAAGGCAGAGTGACGCTTTTTTTGCCAGATTCTTTCATTTCATGCAAAAACGCGTCAAAAATTTCCGGCTTAAGGCCGGAATCAAACTATATATGCATTGAAGATTGAGATTAAAGATTAAAGATTGAAATTTCACCAATGAGGGCAAAGAAATTTTGGCTCTTTTTGCTCTGATTGGTTAAACATCAATCTTTCAATCTTCAATTTCATTCTTCAATGCGTAGTCTGATTCCGGCCTAAGAGTGGTCTCACAAAACTTTCCGATTTTAATGATTTATTCGATCATCCGCTCATATATGTATGTACGCGATGGAAAAAGGACTGCCGGTTCCCCATGAGACGTACTTTTCGAGGGGCATAGGTTACGGAAACCAATCGTAAATTCATTTAGCACTTCTGTTAGAGTGTACAACAGAAATTTTAATTAATCAGCAATTGGTTGCATTAGTTCCGCATTTCTCTAAATTCCGCGAAATACGCCCTACGTGAATGCCAATCTTCAGAATGGCGTAACGTATATTCTATCTAGTAAATTACTAGAATACGCAGGTTACACATAAGCTGGAAACACAATAGACACAGCCAACAGGGAATAACGAGCCGTCCAATCAGAGCTTTGGGGTACAAGTTCGATCCCAGAGCTCTGATTGGACGGCTCGTTATTTCCTGTTGCCTGTGCCTATTGTGTTTCCAGCTTTACGCAGGTTACGCCGCATGTGACGGCGGGCGCTCAGCACCCTCACTCGACAGCGGCGATAGGCGATAGGCGATAGGCGATAGGCGCGATGGGCCGTGCTACGAATTACGAATTCGCGCGACGCGGCTTCACCGCACATTGGCTTATGCCCATTTCTATCAACGTAGATTAACTTTAATCTCGGTTCAACTTACTCTTCGTCTTTTTCTAATCTTTAGAACTAGAAAAAGACGAAGAACAAGTTGAACCGAGATTAAAGTTAATCTACGTTGGTGAAAACGGGTATTATACGGGCATTCCTATTTTAATTCGAAAACTACAGCGAATATCTCAAAATGGTATCAGACTTTTTTATTCTACGTCCACTTTTTTGTTCTACATCCCCAATGCGACTCCTACCTTATTTCTGAGACACATCCTGTATATTTTCTTATTTCATGTTTTCTTACACATGGATCCAGAAACTTTATGACAAGTTCATATATAATTCAGATTAAAGAATTTTCCAATTTCCAAAGCTGCTTTTTCCGCTAAACGCAGCCTGTCTTACACGAGTTTGCCACAATTAAGGTTCATTAATAGAGAAGATTAAATTTTATCCTTTTATTGCATTTCATGTCGTACTAATTGCATTCACGTTTTCAGTTTTCGTCGTCGATTTATGCCCCCATTTCCAATGTAGATTAATTTTAATCTCGGTTCATCAACTTACTCTTCGTCTTTTTCTAGTTCTAAAGATTAGAAAAAGAGTAAGTTGAACCGCGAGATTAAATTTAAAGTTAATCTACATTGGTGGAAATGGGTATTAATTTGTATGCATATACCTGCATGTACGAATCGCTCGAATTTATAAAGTTTTTGTTAAGAATCCATATATACATATATATATATATATATAAAGTTTGTTTTGTAATTATTTCTTTCAAATTCTTCTTTTGGTATAAGATATACCACGGACTCTTAAATTTTAATGATAAAGAAACATATTCTCGTGAAACGCGTGTGACAAATTGTATATAATCTGGAGACATTGGTGTAGTGTCTCGGCGCTAAGCCAAGCGCAGCGACACTGCCGTGGATACTATACGCGAATCTGTCAAGATTTTTATTCATACACGAGTGACGTATAGCTTGACGTAGCGAACAATGCATTAAATTATCGTCCAATTGCGTCTGCAAATTCCATTTGATGCAGACAGCGCTCTTGAAATTATTTCGTCCTTGGCTGCGTTCGGGAACGTCGCTCAGATGCCTCCGATGCCTCGGATTCATCATCTGTCCTTGTTTAATATTAGATGATTAAACAAGGACAGATGATGAATCCGAGGCATCGGAGGCATCCGAGCGACGTTTCCGAACGTAACCCTTGTTGTTTCATCATATTTAAACAAGGATAAAATGATGCTCAATGCTCATAAGCGTTGTGAGCGCCAAGCCGTCAAATGGAACGCAGCTATCTACACGTGTCGTCGCTCAAGGAGAGTACGAGAGAGTACACGACATGACTAACACGGGCGAATCACCGGTCACCGGCCTGATAACAACACAGCTGACGGTGGTGTAATGTGAAACCCTCGCTGTGAGGAAAAAATTCACGAAAACGTGAATGAACACGCGCGTTTGAAATGTTTGAAATGTTTGAATGTGCCGCAAACTGAGTGGAACGACGTACGGTGCGCGTCTCGTAAACGCGCGAGACGGAACGGCGCTACGACAGCCTACAACGCCGGTGGCTCGCAACTCGCAACTCGCAATCGGGTGAACCAGGAATATACGGTAGTACACGCATCGAGGATTGAGGAATCCTCCATTGCGTAACGGATCGACAGAGCGGCAAGAGAAAGAGAGAGAGGGCAGATAGAAGTAGGAAAAAAAAAGAAGGGTATGCTCGTTAAAGCAGCAGACAGCCGCTTTATCTGTGATTCACGCGATATCGCAAAGTGCTCCTCGAGTGTACGATACGTACACGGCTCAATATACGATCAGCAGAACGATTGGCTTACTGAATTAGTTCAAAGTACAAGAGTTCGGCTGCGTACATCAGCGTGCATCAGCGTGCATGGTCTTAGTTGAACGTCACGCGGGATGTTGCATCGCTCCGGAACTCCGGTCTAGTCCGCGAAATTCGCGTCCAAGGTACGAGCAGGTACGAGTTTCATTATTCTCGTGGCGGGAATGATTATCCAACGACAAGTGTTGCACATGTCTTGAATCTCTCACGTTGATTCTCCTTGTTGTATTACATACAGTTCCTTAAGTACTTATCACTTTGATCTAACTCCAATTAGCTTGATCAGCGATAAATTCGACTCCATCATTTAGCTATAAACTGTGCTCTGAGCCAATTTCGCAAATTCATTGTCTTTGATCCTAATCTTACTTTTCACGTGTTAAATGACTAATTAATCCATCCATGTTAACGAGATAATACAAATATTGCTTGATAAGAATTAATAACTGATCAAGATAGGTTGAGTTTGATTATTTTATCTACAAACTAACATTGATCATGAAGATACGGAATATTATTGTGAGAGTTGAGTCAATTCCACATAAAGATATCTATTTTCTAATACTATTCAAAGCATTGTGCGATATGCAATATTGTTTGTTCTCTTTTGTTATAGATTAATTACACAAGTCAAAAATATAATTCAAGTGACCGCAAGTCTCAATCATGTTGCAAAACGTGAATAAGGAACTAGCTCCTATAAAATCACATTATTTTCTTTTCAATGCTGGTAAGTCCCAATTAAAACTCTATCTCTAAAATCACTTTAACAACTGTTGTGGAAAACATTTCTTGTATTCTGTACTAATTATATTTGTTTTACTTACAGCGACAGGGCCAATGGTACAATTTTTACCAACAATTGGAAAGCAATTGGGCTTCTCCGCAACAGTGGTCGGTACAATATATACAGTGTTACCAATTTCTGGGCTGATCGCAAAGCCGCTGTTCGGAGGTCTGGCTGACAAATTTAAATTGCATAAAATCATCTTCTTGATATTCGAAGCTATACTGGCAATAGCGTTTTTCTCTATTTATTTCATTCCTGAAATAGATAAGAATGCAAAAGTTACTCTAATCTGCGATAAGGATGTGTCATACTTAGAGATTTGTCCGCAGATTGAATTCTCAAAGAAGGCGTTAAGTGCCGTGATATTAGAAAATATACATGCTAACACAGTCTGCCAGGTGTGTATAAATGTAATTTTACTCTATTTATTCCTTTGTATCAAATAACTAGTATATATGAACGTAATTTGTGTCTATAGTTGTCTTGCAAAGGAGTATCTCATGGTTTCTTAGAATTGTCTGGCAAAAATATTTCTATGAACAGCACATTCGAGTTT